GGGGGGGTTCTGAGTAGAAAAATAAAAATTAATCTTTTAGTCTCCGGAGTACTAGTAATAAAGCACTTAAAGTCAATTTATAACAGGAAGGGGGAAAAAAGAAACGCACAAAGCACTTAATTCAAACTCAGTAACTGGTGGTGATGCGAAACAAAGTGCAGAAAATGAAGACGGAAATTGCAAAGGGACCATGAAGAAGAATGATTCCCAATAAAAATCTCAGCAGTTAAAATAGGTGAGATAAACAGCAGAGCAAGATCATGATGACAATGATGAAGGATACCCAATCACAAAATAGATTCTACTTGTCCAGGCTGGGAATTGCATGAGGAATCAAGCCGGACCAAGGGATTTCTGACACCTTCGAACACTTAAGAGAAGGAAGAAGAGAGCAAGACGAAGGTTCGCGGAAAGCACTAGGGCAGCGACGGCTTCATCAATCGTTTTGCTTGCGAGAAAGTATAGTAAAACTTAGAAGGGAGATATAATTCGGCATTACAAAGGTGAAAAAATGGAGACGACGGGGAGAGAGAGAAGGTGCGTGGAAGATTGAAGTTGGTGATGAGACAAGAAATTCTTGCCTGTATCGGGCCCCACTCTAGTTTCGAAGCATTGGGTCGCATTGGTTTCGGCCCGGTCAGTCACGTTCGTTGACTCGAAAAGTGATCCACCCCGGAGCTTCTACAGTGAGTCTGCACCGGCTACACTGCCACTTATTTTCACTTCTCTCTTTCAATTGCGACAGTGTTAAATGTTTAATTTGTATTTTTGAATTTTGACCTGTTATTTGTGTTTACGTTAAAAAAAAGTATTAGTAAGATGTAATGCATTATTTTATTTTTTCAAATCCTTCACACGGAGCTTCAACTAATTCATACTGGTTGAGACTTTAGATGCATAATTTGAGAAGTGATTAAGCAAAACATTGGCAGTGGATGGTTTGACAATGAAGAGGAAAAAAAACTATGTGTTGAATATTGATAAAAAAAATAATTTTTAAGTTAAGATGATCAAGTTTCCTTAATGATGCATTGACCCCGACGTTTACTTTAAATTGCATTGTACTAGTAAAAAATACGAAGAACCCTCGCTTCTATAATCGATTCATGACACTCCGTTAGCATTTTATTATTTGTGAGATCATTAATTTCCAACTCACATAGTCACATTGACTTTATGGAAACAAGCTACGCCAGTCTGGATTAAAAGAAGGAAAAATATAAAAATACTCTCTTATATTTATAAAAAAAATTGAGATATTTTTCATGTGTTTCAAGAAATTAGCCAGAGTTTTACATAAATTATTATATTATTTTATTCCTTAATTGGACGAGACACTGGATCACCTTATCGTCTGTGTTTCTAAATTTAAACGGTAAAATTTAAAAAAATTATCATTTTATTTGATGTCTTGTGATTAGGATTTTTATAAAATAGGAACGAAGTAGTACATAAACGGAAGGAATGGTTCAACTCTCGTCCTGCCTGTTTTTACGTAGGAAATTCCAATATAATCACAGTGTAAGTATTAATATTAATGAAATTTGAATTTTGGCGGACTGGGGGAATTGATGATTGATGAATGATGAAGAGGCAGGGAAGAAGAAAGCAAAGTCAACTGTTGCTGATAATGCGTGCATTTTTTTTTTTTTTTTGCATGTACATAAATGATGATGCATACATAACTTGACTAGACTAATCAAGTGGGTTCAGAAGCTCTGCCGAGGGATTGTTAATTTTCAAACGACCAAGATCACCGTTCACACGCCCTGTGCGCCAATCCCTAGTTAACGTGGGTCAAGCGAAAATGTCACATTCATATTTAATTTGTTAAATTAACTCTTTTTCACAAAAAAAAAATTCAAATATAAACTATATTGCAGTAATTAAGTTTTAATTTACTTTTAGCTTAGGGCATGATCGGGCAATGCTGAATTTTGATCTAATTTAAGGTTTAATCTCTTTTATAAAAAAAATTGAGTTAGGCAATTAACAAGATCAAACTTTGTTCATATAATTAAAAAACTAATCTCGATAATCCAATACTCACTCAATCTTTTTTTTTGTCTTTTTTTATGAAAGACAATAATTTATTTTAGCTTGATAAATTTAATTAAAATAATAAAAATATGCATGGTCATAAGAAATTTATAATAATATCTAGCAACGATAAGTATTTTAATTACAATTCAAACGATTCAAATTCATAACTTTAACAACAACAACATACAACAAACTTTCATAATATGTTTAATCAATATTACAATAATAATTTAGCAGCAAACTAAATTAAAATTACATTACATAGAAGGATTAAATGTGAATGAAGGAAACGTCATGTTTAAATTTCAAACTATTTAAATATATTAAAAATAATTAAAATTATATTAAAATAACTTTATAGGATTGAACTAGATTAAATAGTCAGGGAGTTTGATCTTTTGTTTGGTCTGACATGTAGAATTAGTTTGGTTTTTTGGGTCTTTCAGATCAATTTTTTAACCCGACCGGTTTTATTTGGGTTGAATAGGATAATTAGACATTTGCACAGCCTTATATATTTCAATTCACAAGTGTTTCAGCTTACGAATTTGTCTTTTTTCACAAGACTGAATGTACTTATCCTTTTTTATTTATAATTTTATAGTATTTTACATTTAATCATAATAAATTACATATACAGATATATAGGTCATGTATAGATTTTTTTTTTTTTGTGATTGAAATTTGTGATGGGTTACGGAAAGACATAATTTTACATGATCTTCTTAGAATTAGTTGGGTCTCCTAAGTCCCATCTTATCTCGTGGAATTTAACAAATAGTTTTTTTTTAAAAAATACATGGGTTTATTATAAATTTTATATTTCACATTAATATACATATACTCCCTCTGTTTGAAAATATAAAATATTTTTAATTAAATCTTACTTTTCAATAAAATGGTTACCTACTTTCTAATTAACTCTATCTTTTCATATTTACCTTTATTAAACAGTCTACGATAAATATAAAGTCATTCATTAACAAGGGTATTTTTTTTAAAAAAAGTAATGATTACACCTCAAAAGACTAAAAATGCCTTACATTTTGTAACATTCAACTCTTCAAAAAATGCCTTATATTTTTTAACAGAGGGAGTATTAATTATATGTATTGTTTTTAAAATATACATAATCCTTCTCTCAAATAAAGTATTGCACTGTACGGTACTACTAGTATAATCCAATTTTACATATTTCGACAAAAATGTTCTCATCTGATTGAGTAAATCATGCACACAATTAAACTAATTGAGCATAATTTATTTTAAGCAAACTGTATGCATGTAGTTATAGACGGGAATAGAAGAAGATGGGAAGTGCGGAGGCTGCTCACGGACATCGCTGGATTGGGTTAGTTTTTAAACACGAGGCCCGATTTGACTTGAGAATAGTCTGATGCTAGACCAAACCAAGTAAGCTTCCCTGGTTGGACTGGGTTCAGGGACCAAAAATCATAAAAGAGACCCAGCATAGGTTGAAAGCATTCACTGTCTTGTAAGGTGAAAGAAGAACGCATGGATAGATGAAGCAGGAAAGGCCAATGAAAAGGCTCCGATTCACTCTCTTGGTTACTTGCTTACTCTGACCTTCCAGTAGAATCATTGCGACTTCGATGAAGCATATCAAGCCTCAAACAACTAACAAGTTTTGGGGTTCGGAGTTCGAACAACGACAATTATTGTGATCTACTAGAAGCGGCGGTTGGCCAAAAACGGGAGGGGGTGGGTTAGGGATTTTAGAGAAAAATGGGTTTTGAGTGCAACATATCCACATGCGCATGCGGGGTCCTATGTGAGAGGAGCAGTGAAGAGGAATTTACAAGAGTCTGTCGCTGGTTTTTGGATGGCTTCATCACACACACAACAGTATGCAGATCAACGTGCACTAGACCAATGCCACTGGCCAGGCTAAAACTGACCAGTCAGGCTTGATATTTGACCAAATCATTAGCTTGGCTTGATTTGTCATGTCTTCTCCTGGAGCTGCTTGACTTGCATGAGTTCTGTTAGCCCCAGTTCGAGTCTTGCGGAGAGATGCAAGCAGCATAATTAATGGGACAAATGAAAATTAAGTACTCCACAAGACTGTTAAATTATCTTTATATTTAAAATTGACTTTTGATAAATTTTCAAACGGCAATTATATATTTATGAGTATTTTTCAAAAAATTTTATAAGTGAATTATAGTTTTGAGAAACAACTATTCAAGTGTGAATTTTGGTTTTCTCAATTAGGATTAACAATAATCTCAGTTCATCATAATAATTTCAACTACTCTCTTCATTTAAAAATATAAAATATTTTTAATTGAATCTCACTTTTTAATAAAGTAATTACCTATTTTTTAAATAATTTTATCTTTTTATATTCATCTCTATTAAACACCCTACAATAAATATAAAGTTATTATTAATAGGGGCACTTTTTAAAAAGGCAATGATTACATTTCGAAAGATTAAAAATACCTTATTTTTTTTAACATCCAACTTCTCAAAAAATGTCTTATATTTTTTAACAGAAGGAATGTGTCTTTTTTTAATTTTCTAAATGAGAGTAATTTTATAAACTTATATATGTTTTTAATTTCAAGTAAAGATCATGATTCATTGTCGAAATTTTAATAATTCAAGGTTTTCAATTGTAATTAATGATCTTATGGGGTCTTTAATTGTTATTTTCCTTAGTTAATGACTAAAACATGGTGTGATTTGTTATTAATTTTATATTTTATATAATAATAGATTTTACCAAATTAAGTGAACATATAAAATGAAATACTTTAAAAAACAAATGAAAATAACACTACTTATAAAAACACACGCACAAATAAGCTACTACCATTATTTTATTTTATGGTATTATTATTATTACACACACACACACACACACATTATTTAGTAAGATCAACTGCTACTATTTCATTATCTCAATCAATCCTTTTTAGTTTTTAGACCAGGGTTAATTTGGGGGGTGAGGTTTGGGGGGGCGCAATTCCTGCAGTAACCCATTCCACAAGATCCTTATTTTGCTCCGCGCAAAGCCTGGCCGGAAAAATTCCCTCTTCAAAGACTCTGAATAATTTCGACGTGAGCACATTCCTTGCGCACCTTCTGAACATCTTCAAGCGCAGACATCAAGGGACCAGCACTGCGCCCTCCGAGTCAAATTCGATCACCGTTGAGTTGTTAGTACTGGTATTAAGAATTTGTAAAGCTTATTGATTTCCAAGAGCTCCACTCACATATTGCAACAAATGCTAACTCGAACAATCATTCCCCAATGGCACTTCATGCTATTGTTATTTAAAAAAAATTGGAATATTTCATTTGATTTTGGTTTGATGTTCCTATTATGAATAATATAATTTCTACTTGCAACCCGGAAGGGTGGCTCCTATCAGGCTCACGTACTCACGTTGTTTGGCTGGCTTGCTAAATGTAGCAGCTCTTTTGGGAACGAAATCGAATATCGAGATTGCATATGGCGATGAAGGAGTTGAGCGAAGCTCTCTTTTTTGTTTGCTCACTAGAATTCTGGAGAATGTCTTTGTTGTGGACATATTCTCTTATATCATCATATTGGCATTTGTTTAAAGAATCTGAGATACTCAAATCCTATCCCAGATGTTCTCCTTCAACATCTCCTTCTAGGCCTGTTTGCGTCGTCACTGGCGTAAGTGAAGTTGGGCTTCAGGATCAAATCTGCTCCAGCCATCCCCCCAACCACCCCCCCCCCCGGGGGAGGGGGTGGTTAGTGGGGCGTTTAAATTAAAAACCCAAGGCTTGCTGTTGGCTTACGGACACATCATTCTTTTGTTTGTGCAGGCAACATCTGGCCTGGGTGCTGCTACTGCTCTCGCCCTTTCGAGAGAAGGATATTTTGTTGTTATTGGTAATCCAATTCTCATTTATGTTAATCTTAGACTAATTCTTTAAAGCTGTTTTCGTCTGTCTAGGCCTTCCTTTAAGTTATAGCATCAAAACGCATTGTTTAGCACTTGGAACCCCGTCTGCTTATTTTTTATGCAGCCCATTAAATAAACTAAAAGGAGAGATTTATAGGTATAGTGGGGCTGTTTGTGCCTTTGCCTCAGAAAACATGACTGGTATTGATTTCTCCCAAAAGCACCATCAAATGATTGAGCTCCCTGTTGATACCGCTTTCCTCATGCTGCTCGTGTGCTAACCCATGCATTGATTTTTACCCTAACTACTTGATGAAATGCCTTCTGGATTTTGCATGGTTTCATGCTGAACGAAATTTCTTCTTTGGAAAACTGAGTGCTATTTTGATGGTTTGATCTATGTGAGTTATTTATTTGCTTTTCTAGTCATGTAAGTAGTTTGCCCCTTTTGAACCAAGTAGCTTAATTTTTAAGTTTCTATGACTAAGATTCCAAATGTGGATGCAGTTGGAAGATCACACCAGTTGTTGTTGGAGGTATGTTTCTAAATTATTAAAAGTCGCAGTAATTATGCCTCCACGGCTATTATTTTCTTATGAATTTTTCCACTGTTTGATAGACCATAAAAAAGATCAAAGATTGCAATGAAGATGGCCAAGTGAAAGCTTTCCAGGTTGATATGTCGTCAATAAAGTCAATTGTGACGTTCAGAAAGTCCTTGCAGCACTGGCTTTTGGAATCTGACTTGCACTGCTCAGTACAAATACTTGTAAACAATGCTGGAATACTTGCAACATCACATAAAGTCACAGCTGAGGGATACGATCAGTAATAAACATTCTTTCTCCTTCCCATATAGCATTAAAGAGTTCCATTATTACAGCATGCAAGTGTTTTTGTGCAAAATTCACATGTTGTAGGGCATCTTTGATTCTACTTTTTGACTGTTTATGTTACTCTGTTTTTAGGCATTACAGTTTCTCATACTCAGGCATTCTGCCTAAGAATTAATAAATATTTGGCACTTGTCTCTCAGGATGATTGGTACAAATTATATAGGTGCTTTTGCTTTGACAAAGCTTCTATTACCACTTCTTGAAAGCAGCCCTGTAACTTCAAGAATTGTGAATGTGACATCCTTTACTCATCGAAATGGTAAAAATATCATATTATCAACACTTCTTGGCATTGCACGATTCCTTGCAAGTTTGTTGTCTGGCGATTCCATGCTTTGAGTTTGGTTCTCATTTTGCATATTCTTCATCACTCACTCTGCAACCGAACATTTAGAGAATTTTCTAAGCTTTGTTTTGATTGTCACTTAGCTTGTCACATTGTGCTGAAATTACCGTTATTAATACTAAACAACATATTCCTATTATCATAATCCAATAGAAAAGGCAAAAAGCAAAACTTGTAGTATGAATGATTCATGAAAGAACATTCTTTCAAGGGTTCAATTGACACTTGGTTCAATTTTTAATCTTAGTACTAGTTTCCTAACTGAAGTCTGATGGACTTGGTCATGAGTTCATGCTTATCTGTCTTGATCTGGATTTGATGAAAGTTATGTCTTGCCTAATTGATATAAATTCTTGTTATTGCCTACTTATTTCATTTTACATCATAACTCTTCAGGAATCCTTCAGCTTGTTAAATAAGTATATGACAACATAAGTTTTTTTTGGAAGTGCTTATAGTTGATTGATGATTAATATGGTTTCTTTAATGTTTTGTCCATCTACTTGGATTCTTGACCTCCTACCTATAACAGTCTTTCAGTATGTTTGTGGAGCAAAAATTGCATTTATTAAAATGTTTGTAGGAATTGATGCATTATTATGACGGTTGGTTTTTCTGCAGTCAATGATATACAGGTTGATGAGAAAACTGTTTCTGGGAGAAGATTTTTGAGTTCACAACAATACCCATGCGCTCAAATTTATGAGTACTCTAAATGTAAGCTGCAAGTTTTGGATGATTTTGTAAAGATTATCTTTATTGCTCCTAATCAGCATTTACTCTGTTGAAGTGTGCCTGCTGCTCTTCTCCTATGAGCTTCATCGACAGCTTAGCTCGGAGGGTAAATCTTGGCATGTCTCCGTCACGTACGTAATTACAGATTTGTTCAATTCTTTCTTACTGTTTTCTTCTTTTGGTGCTATTATACTGTCAAATTTTTGGAAGTTAATTTATTTATGCACAAATAATTGTCAACTATGATGTTGGGACGTACACGTGCCTGCCTTCTTGCAGTAAATTACTAGTTTAATTTTCTATCTTCTCACTTTTGACAAAGACAATGTCGACAGTTTCTTGCCTGCCAATCTCCTGCCATTTATGAAACATGTGCGTTAAGAACTTTTAGTGCTATTTTAGCGTTAATCACGTGCTGAGATCTATTGTTGTGGCCTTGTGGACCCTGTTGCTTTAAATGATTGGGGTCGGATCGTTGGCTATAAGATCTAATCTTCTGAAAAATAGAGAATAAAGTCAGATAAAAGCTGACACGGGGACAAACAAGCCCGCAGAAGAAAGAGAGATGTAGTCTATGACACGTATTGTCTTTACATTTTTCTTTTTGGCTGTGCATCTACTTAATTAAATCTCAGTTTCTCCTGTGTGTTGTTCTTTAGTGCTGGGGATCCTGGAGCTGTGCAAACGAACATTATGCGAGAAGTTCCATCAGTTCTATCTTGTTTGGCATTCAAAGTCCTAAGACTTTTGGGCCTATTGCAGACCCCCGAATGTGGAATTAGCTCTATTATTGATGCAGCCCTTGCACCTCCAGTAAGTATTCTTTTGGGTGTATTTTTTCTGTAAAGGCTGTACTGCTTGTCTTGTTTATTCGTCTAATTTGTCAAAGGTGTTCCATCAAACGACTGAGATATCATTGAACCAACTTCAATCTTATCTTTCAAGATGAGATCTTGCATAATACTATGCATATATGCATAGGCTTTTCCTTCACTTAATGCATGTGAAATTAAGAGTTACTTGTGAACATGACATATATATACATGTGAAATTCAGAGGTCCATGTAGTTACGCTCAAATGAGTTGAAAAGGCGGGCTGGTTGATTGGGTCTGAAAATGAGCCATGACATTGTGCTGATTGAACAAGAAAAGACGAACTGCAGTCTTACATATATTCCTTGCACACCAAATATGCTAATTGTTTTTTAAGCTTCATTTGGTCATCTCAACATTTGGTTCCAGGAAGCATCAGGAGCGTACTTTTTTGGGGGGAAAGGCAGGATTATCAGCTCTTCAGAACTTTCACGAAACCCCAAATTAGCACGCCAACTCTGGGAAACTACATGTAATCTGTTATCGCATACCCCTTTTGGCTCTGAGGAAACAAGGATGCTAGCATCTGCCCTATCGTGTACAAAGTGAAAAGGTGGCATTTTTATGTTCTGAAGCAGATTAATGGACCAGATTTTGAATCTTTTGGCGGTAGGGAGGGTGCAAATGCAAAGGAGTGAGAACTTGTAAAGATTCATTTCATGATCATCTCTGTCCAATTCCAAGAACTGAAATCTGACATACCATACTTTAGATTAAGATCTACGCTTTTTAGCACTTAGAAGCCAGTGGCATAGTTTTTGACATAATTTAGGTATAGTTTTCAACTTTCAAGGGCTTATCATTAAGTGCATCAATAAATTTGTAATATGTGAATATTTTTTATTGTTAAACATCTCATGTGATGGAGACTGAATAAATAAAATATGTTGTGACATTTTGATTGTCTAGTCTTTGGCGTCTGCTAGTGATGACACGGGACGCCCATCAGGCCATTTCAGTCCAAATTAATTCTTACCATCCATTTAAATTAATTTTTAAATATTTTTAATATTATATTTGTTTAAAAAAATAAAAAATTTTAATATTAAATTTGAATTATTTTAAGTACATTTAAATGGTTAATTTATAAAATTTATAATTTTTTAATATTAAATTATGTCATTTAAATTATATCTGAATTGTTCAGAGTCTATTTACGTAATCAAATTTTTGAAACTATAAAAAATTTTAATATTAAATTGGACTGTTAGATTAAATCTATATTGATCAGATTGGTAATGAACAAATTTATTAAAATTTTAAAATTTTTTATATTAATAGATATAATATTAAAAATATTTAAAAATTAATTTAAGTAAATAACAAAGATCAATTTAAACTGAAATAAAGGGCCATGATTGCTCCTAGTCTTTATAGGAATCGAATGCAAATCCCTAGTCTTTGCTGCGCATGAAGGCATTAGAAGTTCCCAGTGAGTTCCCACTCAGAAAGTGAGAACACCCAACTTGTCAGGCCTTGTGCTACAAAATAAAAAAGTATGGGATTTTAATTTAAAGACAATAACTAATCCACTTAGGAAAAAAGAATTCCATCGCGTAGTGCTTCGAGCATTTCTGTCTGGGACAAATCGATCCATTGAGGTTCAAGATTGTGAGCTCATTAATTTATACTAGCAGTATGCCAAATCAACCAATCAAGATTTCTGTTTGGCAAAGTAATGTTTTCCCCCCTAAAATTGTAAAGGCCTTACCAATATTGTTACAGTTAACTTTAGAGAAAACCATAGTCATTAAAAATCAGAGGATCTATTTTATCGTGCGTCGCACTGTTTTTGTGGTTGTGCTGGAGACTTGAATCAAGAAGTAACCTCTAAGCTGAAATATGGGGGGACTAGGCTCAGCTGGGTTTAATTACGCGCCTAGTTAGGCTTGTTTTCATGCTTCTTATGGATATATATGAGCTGACGCTCTTCTATTTGCTCTCTTGGTGGGTTTGGATCTTCTAAATTTCTGCTCAGTGCTCAGTGAACTTTTTGAAAACCTAATTAAGATAACCCTTAAAACCCTCTGTCCCTAGATTCCTAAACAACCCTTCCCCCTACAATTTACCTAATTAAAACAAGCTCTGTGCCTTAAATTGTATTCTTTGTGAATTGATGATCTGATGCATGACTTTTAGAAAACTTCCGCAAATCAAATTCAAGGGTGATACGTCAATCAATACCGTAGTGTAGAAGTCTCTCTCTCTCTCTCCCTATATATATATATATCGGGTGTGTTATTAGAGTAACTCAAACCAGTAGATTTGCATAAAATAAAACTGAGGATTGGATGTAGTTGTTCAACCAGATAGGTTGTTTTGCATTTTAGTTAGCAGAAGAAATGTTAACACGGAAGCTGTAAATGAGAGTGCGTACAGCGTAGGACACCGCATTCTTAAGAATGGCAGGCATGACATTCTCTCTCTCTCTCTCTCTCTCTCTTTTAGAATTATATTTTAATAATTAATAATTTTAAACTTGAAGTAATTTTTTTTAGAATATCCACTTTCAATTTTGGGCTTAAAAAACTCAATTGCGACAAGATTTGATGGAATAAATTTTACAAACGTGTTTTTTGTCTTAATTGAAGCCCTTGGGTTGAGCTTGAATAAATCTAATAACTTTCGGAGTGGGGTTTGATAAATACAATGGTATTAAATCATTTAGATTTGTTTTGGTCGAATCAGCCTGCATTAGCCTACTAAAAAGCTACCCGACTGGCTTGAATGGACTCTTTTTATATATTTTTTAAAATATTTTTGCAATGGAGATGATGGAAGAAATGTGATTAAATGTGATTTTTTTTTCAGGAGAGTTAACCCCTTCCAAGTTGATTTTTTTTTATCATGTCGTTTCTGTTCATAAAGTTATCCACATTTATTCCTTAAATTTGAATTACACAATTTGTGTGAAGCTTGTATATCATGGTCAACTTAAAATTTCAATGGATTTGTCATTAGTGATGTGAACTGTAAAGGGACTTGCCATTTAATATTTTTATAGAAAGAATATATTTGAAATATGCCTTGAATTTGAAAGTTGAAAATAGAGTTTTCTAGCTGTTTGTTCTTTTCAAATAAAAGGGAGGGATGATGTATGTTTACTACGTCATCCCGTACTCCAAAAAGGAAGGGACGGATGAAGGCAGTAATAGACATACATTAGCTCTCCCCAAAGAGAGAAAAGAACCCTCGAATCTCAATTTCCAGTTTGAGATCCGGGGACAGTAGGGGGGTCACAGGGGGAAAAATTTTAACTATGGAGTTTTTCCAGCTTCTTATTAGCTCAGACAATTAGGGTTAAACCATAGGTATTAAGACCTCCCTCCATATTTTGGCATATTCTGAATTTCCAGCTATATAATCTTCACTATAATCTTTCCCCATTTTTATGCCCACTTATGTTAATAGCTTTACTTCGCCAGCATCTTATTCAGTAATAATTCATGAGCAAACACAAAGTTTGACACTTTCAAACTTAATTTGAATTAATTAGTTCTCTTAAAACTTATCTATCATTCTTCCTAAAAATTACTATACCATATTATCTTATTAAGACACTTATGTCTTTTTGTAAAGACTGCTAAAGCCACAATGTCTTGCTAAGTCTAACTATAAACTTAATATAAGATAATTCATATAGACAAAGTCTTATGGTAGCATCATAGCTAATTTGAGGATCAAATTGTTCCTGTAAAAAAATTAAAGTCTTTCAAAGGCATTCCATCTGAAGTTGGAGTTTTTCAATTCTTGTAGATGAGAAATGTCTCCAAAAGTAAATGATTGATCCATTTCAGGAAATCGTTATATGCATAGATCTTTTAAATTTTGATTTTTTTGCCAAAAGCCAACTTCATTTATATATCTCCAAAAAGGAATGTTTTTTCATGTTTGAACTTGAAGTTATAACCAAACTTACAATCTTAACCTGTATGATGCAATATTATTTGCCTTTAAAAATTCAATCGCTTTTGATGTTGCCTGGTTGATCACATCCAAATGAGTTAAAAGATCTGCCTACAAAACACTTGTAATTTGAAAATAAAAAATTAAATTGTGTATAATATATAAAAAGATAAGATATCAGACATAGTTGAGTTATTTTTATGAGTTTGAAAATTATTTAACTAGGCTTTCAATTAGTGGAGTAGATCCCAAGAAGGTTAAGAATCAATGATCTAAAATTTATAAGACTTCCAAATCAACGAACTTTAATAAAACTATATGGCACAAAAGGGTAATCCAAACTTTCACCATTTAGATTACAAAAGACACAGACTTTATCCATTGAAATATGATAAGAATTTAAAAAAGATGAAGGTAAAAACATTTCCAAGCAATTTTTCAAAGAAAAACCTTAATCTAAATTGAATTTTTAATGACCAAATAAGAGATGAGTCGTTATAACTATCTTTTACCAAATAATCTTCCAAGAATTTTTTTAACCATTTAATACAAATATCAGCGTGGTTATTAAAAAGAATTAGAGTCTTTAAAATAGGTGAGATAGCAGTAGACGAATGAAAGGAATTAAGTAAGATGACATTCCAATAAAGGACATGGGACAGTGTTAAATACTAAAATTGTTATATTTATGCATTTGAAGGGAGCATTGTATAAAATAATATAGTTGGACCAACACCAATAATTTAAGAACTTTGACTCTCTCTCTTTTTTCTAGTATCAAATTTAAATCCTGTGTTTGCACTCATATGATCTAACCTATGTCAAGCATAATGATCGGGATTGCTGACTAATCCAAATCTTAAATAGAAATGGCTTTTTCATCGTGTTTATTTATTTATTTTTTCGTGTAGCTTCAGTCCGAGACCTTGTTTAATAGGTTTCATAGTCAAATATTATTCACTAATTTATAAATGCAAGGAATCTGGATTGAATAAGGAAGAAATATTATAAAATTTTTGATAAGTACTATGATTATTTGAAAGTCCTACCAAATATATAAATATCTGAGAGGTCTAAAAGACTTGGTTGTAAATGTAATTTCTTGTGAATTATCTAAAATGTTTATTTTTTTTTAACAAAATGATAATAAAATCTCTCTGAATTATACTCCCCCCGATCATTTTTACCAACTTTATCAATACCAATATAATAAAAGTATAAGAAATAAAAATAAGTAAAATTTCAAATATAACCCAAAAATAAAAAGTAAAAAGTAAACAAATAATATAACATTATTTTTTTATCTTTCTCTCTCTTACTTTTTAAGGGCAGTTTAGAAATTTTAATTTAAAACAAAACAATCTCATCAGCTAATGACTTATAAAGTGGATTAAATTATGCTGCTAAAAGGTGACTAATATATAAGATTGGAAGAGTATAAATGATAATCTAGTCTTTTAAAATACCATAATTTTATTGATGTCTCTAAAAACTTTTCTATCATTAATGAATTTATGTAAACGATCAAATTGTCTTTGTAGTGATATAAAAAATTTGACATGTGAAGTTGTAATTTGCTATTTCATTGTTATGAATACAAAAAAAAAATGTCATTAGTTAAACAAAATTTGTGATCATTACTTGTTATTTTCAACATTTGTAGTAATATCAAAAATTTAACATGCAAACTTGTTATTTATTGTTGCATTGTTGTGAATATAAGAAGTAAATGTATGATTATTTAAACAAAATTTGTGATTATTAGTTGTTATTTTTAACATTTATAGTAACATTAGGAATTTGATATGCGAAGTTACAATTTGTTATTGCATTGTTGTGAATATAAGAAAGAAAGTTGTGACTATTTAAATAAAAATTATGATTATTTTATTTTCAATAAGGAAATTTAGTTATTTATATAAATTCATTAATGATAGAAAAGTCTTTAGAGATTTCAATGGAATTATGACATTTCGAGAGACTAAATTA